CGAAAGTCAGGACCGCCAGCAGGCTGACCACTAAGCAATGCAGCACTGGCCAAAGCAACTGGAGAAGTGGCTAGCACAGACAGAGAAGCATACTGCGCGAGTTATTCCATGGACATTGGGCAATAAGAACATGCAGAAATTCCTGGCATACTTGATCAACCCCGAGCTCAGCAAAGCCCTCATGAATCTTTAGTTGCTATAAATTCATCAAAACTGATGATAAAAACTGCCGAAAACGTACATTTTTCGAACTTTTCATCACAATCATCTTCATCGCTACTAGAAGATTTCGGGGCTTTTTCAGGGCCATTTTGCTTCTTGCTGAAAAAAATTCACTTAAGAAATCAACAAGTGCTAAAAAAAAAAAGCCACGAGAGTACTTAATTTTTATTTTAACATTTTCAATAGCTGTTGTTCCACCATAGCGCCCCCCCCCCCTAGTCCTTCCCGAGGACTACCTGGTGCTTATATTCTTGGTTTCTTGTACTTTTCCAGGAAAAAAGTGCTAGGAGGTATCACATTCACTGCACTGATTGTGTGGTTTTTCAATGGATGTAGTAGTCCCTTCTGCTTCCCAGCATCGGCCATTATTCGTACAAGGGATAAGCTAAGTTAATAATCACGTACAGAATCCCAGGAAAAAAAGCAGATATGCAAAAATTTACAACGAGATAAATCTTCTTTTTCCGTACAAATTTTGCCCCATGAATTAGTCCATTTCCTTCCAAATCGCCATTCTCTTCTCACCCAATCCCATTTCTTTACTTCCAAAAAAAAATCCATAAATTTTGCATATAAGTTGGCCAAAATTACCGCGCTGGATCCGCATTTTCTTTGAGCTCAGGATACAGTTCCAGTAGTGCTGAAATTTTTGCATCAGCATCGCCTTCATCCAGGAAATCGCTTTTGAAATACGTTGAATAATCAGCGGTTTTCTGAAGAAATTTTTGAAAAATGCATGAATTTGAAAAAAGCATTGCACAGGATATTTGAGAAACTGTTTCAAAAGGCTGAAGTTAAAAAAAAAAAACATTTGAAAAACTGGAAAAAGAAACATTAAAAAAATTTTTCAGTAGTTTCAGCTTCCTAATCGATAAGGAACATTATCACGGCTTGGAAATGGGAATTTTCCAGAATGGATTGATGATAATTAACACATACTAAGAACATCTCGAAACAGCTGAAACCTTGCAACAAATTTTGCTAAAAGAACCGTTGCAATGGCAATCCACCGAGGAAAAACGAATGTTAAGTTCGCTAGCAGCCTAACCACCAAGCAAAGCAGCACTGGTCAAAGCAATTACAAAATTGCTAGAGGGAGATGAAACTATGAATTATAGCTAATCAAAACGTTTCGCACGTGGTTTGAACACTTTGACAAACGGTCTTTTCACCGTTTGTCGTGTCATCAAGTGCGTTTTTCACACGCGATAAAAGTTGCGCCATCTGGTAAGCAGATATAATCGGAAATCTTAGTATTTGTCGTCGCAGAGGAGTCGCGAAAAACCGGCCAAAAAACCGACACAAGGAAAAAGAGGTGTATCTTGCCTTGAAAGGCAGATACACATTAGATGTGTTGCGAGGCTGAACATAGAGCGCAAGGACTAGTGGTGGTGTAGTGGTAACACATTGCGCTCGGACGTGGAGAGGAGTGGTTTGGTTCCCTACCGAGGCAGGGAAGTTTTTGAGAGAAAGGGCTACGTTCACGACATTCATTTTCTTGCATCTTTTTTTTTTCCTTTATGAATGGGAAATACTAAGCGTATCATAACTTCTCTTGGTTCACCATCTTACCAATAAGCGTTGTTCTAGCACGGCTCTTCATAATGATTGATAGGAACGAAAGGAATGGGCCAGAATTTAACAATATTATCTTCTTTTTCTCGAAAAATAAAAAGCGACTTACAGCTGATGCTTTTTCAGATCCTTTGGGAATTGATATGTTTTCAGGATTTTCTGATAGCGATTTCTCTTCGCTCCATGCACTCGATGAAGTGACTATAATCAGAATCTGGTTAACTTCTACAGATAGTTGCCTCATTCACATTTAAGCGGAAACAGTGGTGCATATCCTAGTCTCAACATCATGAAACCTTCGAAACACGACAGATTCCGCCTGCCACAGATTATGAATACAGAAAGATTCTGACTTTTTTAACTTAATTATATTTTTTGATATTTTTAACTAATTATATATTTTTGTATATTTTTAACTAGTTATTTCACTCCAAATTTTTATTTTCTTAATATATTTTTTGTATTTTATACATCATAATTAATACTTCTGGGCAGTAGAGATGGCAGTTATAAGTTGAAGATAAGCAACTCAGTGAAAAAAAAAAAAAAAAATGAAAAAATAACTATCATAGTTAGCGCATGCATGCCTCCATACAACATCAGAGCTAACAGCGACAATCGAAACGATTTCGATGAAAGTTTAATCCAAACCTTCTGAGAAACTATCTTTCACGCAAAAGCTGTCCTCGACGTAAGTATTTTCATTGCTTGTTAATTCATCATCCGTCTTGTCCACTTGTTGTCCATAATATGTGAACTTTTTCTTGAAACTTAGTTTTAGTTTTTCGAGTGATTGATTTAAATCCCTGCAAAAAAAAAAATTAGATAAATAAAAAGCCAGTTCAAATATAGGGCGAAATGAAACTTAATCCTACTAGCTGCGTAATAGCCCGCCAATTTTTTTTTTTCGGTGAGTTCATAACTCGGGAATCTGAGAAGCTAGAACGCTGAAATGTTAGGGTGATGTTCCCCCTCCAAGTCGGTGTTGATGCACTGAAGCCCATCCAGCTGATTGAGATTAAACTTCACATTATATCAACTCGATAAGCCCTACCATTGCGAAGTTGGAAAAATAGATTAAATACTGAGCTGAATTTAAAAATATTGGAATCGGTGATAAAGGTTCAGTCTAAATATCATATGCAAAGAAGACATATTCGGAAGCAGACTATGTTTCATCCCTTAGCTGCAAACACTAACCGTGCACAGCCTATGAATAGGACTAGTTTGAGTCAAAAGCCAAAAATTTAAAATTTTCTTTCTAATTTCACTATCCGTTAGAGCTCAAAACACATGGAAGTAGCTCGATTGGTAGCAAATGCCAAAATCAACCACCCACTGACAAGGATTTCTCATTGGTTTCATCTTACAAGTGATGCTTATATAAGTAAGCTGATGGCGGATTCAACATCCAGGCATGCGCCAGTACCAATTTACCATCGAAACGAATTAACGAATCTTCGAAGGATCCATTGCCCCAGTGATGGAATAAAACCCTCGATCCCTCGTATTGCAGTAGCTTTATTTACTAGTACATTAAGCCCACCCCAGAAATGAGGGATTTTGGGGGAAGCGTTGTGAGAAATTTCAAAAAAATAAATGGATTCCTGTATTAAAAAGAAAAAAATAAAAAATAAATAATTGGATTCCTGCGTAAAAAATATAAAAATAGAATATATTTGGATTCCTGTAAAAAAAAACATAAAAAATACATAAATAATTGGATTCCTGCACAAAAAATATAAAAATATAAAATATATTTGGAATTCTGTAAAAAAACATAAAAGATAAATAAATAATTGGATTTCTGTATAAAAAATATAAAAATATAAAATATATTTGGATTCCTGTATAAAAAAAATAAGAAAAAAAAAGATTTTGGGAACATTTTGGACCCCTGGGATGGAGGCGGGGAAGCGGGGAAAAGAGAGGGGGAGGGGGGGGGGGGGGGGGGGGGG